TGGGAATCCAAGGATATGCCCGGAGTCGATCCCTCAGTCATTTGCCATAAGCTGAACATCGAGGTGGATTCCTCCCCGGTCAAGCAGAAGAAAAGATATCTGTCCACAGACAGAAAAGAATTTGTGAGGAAGGAGGTGAAAACCCTTTTGGAGGCCGGCCACATTAGGGAGGTCCAATATCCCAAATGGCTCGCCAATGTGGTGCTGGCACCAAAAGGGGACACCTTTCGCATGTGTGTGGACTTCACTGACCTCAATAAGGCATGTCCTATGGACCCCTTTCCCCTACCAAGAGTAGATCAACTGGTAGATGAAACGGCGGGCCATGAACTATTGAGTTTTATGGACGCCTTTCGAGGATACCACCAAATTTTTATGGACAAAGATGATGCGGAATCCACAGCCTTTATCACCCCTGAAGGAGTATATTGTTACGTAGTCATGCCTTTTGGGCTGCGTAACGCGGGGGCCACGTTTACAAGAATGATCTCCTTGTTATTTAAGGAGGTCCTGGGACAGATCATGGAGGCCTATGTGGATGACCTATTGATCAAAAGTAAGCAAGCAGTGGACCATCCTAAACACTTGGAGAAATGCTTTCGCATCATGAGGAAGCATAATTTGAGATTGAACCCCAAAAAATGCTCATTTGGGGTCCATGGAGGAAAGTTCCTTGGTTACATGGTAAGCAAGAAAGGGATTGAGGTCAATCCGGACAAGTTGAAAGCCATCCAAGACATGGAACCGCCAACGAATTTGAGGGAAGTCCAAAGATTAGCGGGGAGGATAGCAGCCTTAGGCAGGTTTTTGGCGCGGTCCGCGGAGCGGTCCCTGCCCTTCTTCACAATTTTAAAGGGAGGGGGAAACTTCCAGTGGACCGCAGAGTGCCAAGAAGCCTTTGAACACTTAAAGGCATACCTGAGCTCTCCACCGGTCCTCTCCAAGCCATTGGCAGGGGATGTCCTTTTCTTATACTTGGGAGTGGCCCACCTGGCAGTAAGCTCGGTCCTCTTGAGGGAAGAGGAAGGAGTCCAGAAGCCAGTCTATTACACGAGCAGGGCCTTAAGAGGACCGGAAACGAGGTACACTCCCTTGGAAAAATGTGTCTTGGCGGTGGTGGTAACTGTCAAGAGGTTGACTCCCTATTTCCAGGCTCACCCAGTAAGAATCATGACGGACCAGCCTCTGGGAGCAGTTTTGAGGGACCCATCTTCTTCGGGAAGGGTCATTAAGTGGGCCATGGTCCTCTCCCAATATGATATTTCTTACCAGCCCCGTTCTGGTAAGAAAGGTCAGGTCATCGCAGATTTTATGGTGGAATGCACAGCAAGAGGGAAGCCAGAAGAGGAAGGGACCGGTCAGGAAAGAAAAAGGGAATTATGGGAGGTTCATTCAGATGGATCTTGCACTAAAGACGGTTCGGGAGGAGGAGCGGTCCTCACCTCCCCCGAAGGTTTCAAGGCTTATCATTCCTTTAAGTTCACATTTCGAGCCACCAACAACGAAGCAGAATATGAGGCCCTCATTGGAGGGATCCAAATTGCCCTATTCATGAGGATAAAGCACATTCGCCTTAAATCCGATTCAAAATTGGTCATTGGGCAGCTGAAAGGAGAAATGGAGGCCAAGGAAGGAAGGTTGAAGAAGTATAGGGACTGCGCCAGGACTCTGCTTGGACAATTTGAGTCTTATGAGCTCATATATGTCCCAAGAGAAGAGAATAAAGAGGCGGATATGCTCGCTAAATTATGTAGGACCATTCCCATTCACATGGAGGGCATGGTAAGGCAGCACGAGAGGATCTGTCCTGTTTGGGAAGAGGCGGTCCCTGTCCTCGAGATATCCGGTCCAGGTACAACTTGGATGAGCCCCCTGATCACGTATCTTGAAAAGGGAGAGCTCCCTGTTGACCCCAAGGAGGCCCGCAGAGTCCAATTAATGGCTCCCAAATATCAATGGGATGGGGGAAAATTATATAAAAGGACCTTGGGAGGACCAATGCTCAAATGCTTGAGTGAGAGAGAAGCAAGAAGAATATTGGAAGAAGTGCACCAAGGAGTCTGTTCTGCCCATCAAGGCGCCCTTACTCTAGCGAGAAAGGTGATACTCCAGGGGTTCTATTGGCCCACCTTGAAGAAGGATGCGCTGGAGTTGGTGAGGAAATGCCCTACTTGCCAAGCATTTGCACCTATCCCTGGACGCCCATCCACCTTTTACACCCCTGTCACTACAGCCATCCCTTTTGCTAGATGGGGGTTGGACTTGGTGGGTCCTTTCGTCCAAGGGGCTGGAAGGAAGAAATTTGCCATTGTGGCAGTGGACTACTTCACCAAGTGGGTGGAAGCGGAGGCCCTTCTAAAAATCACGGAGGAAAATTGCCGTAAGTTCGTATGGAAAAATTTATTATGCAGATTCGGTGTTCCTGAGCAAATCATAACGGACAATGGCACCCAATTTGCCAGTACAAGTTTCAAGGAATTCTGTTATGCGTGGAAAATTAAACTCAGTCGGGCCGCCGTAGCTTACCCGCAATGCAATGGGCAGGTAGAAAACACCAACAGGACGATTGTAGACGGCATCAGAAAGAGACTACACGAGTTGGGCACGTCTTGGGTAGAAGAGCTATCCTATGTGTTGTGGGCCCACCGGACTACCCCAAGGAGAGCCACAGGAGAGACTCCCTTTGCCTTGGCTTATGGCTTTGAGGCAAAGGTACCTACGGAGGTCTTGGTCCCTAGCACAAGGGTGGAAGCATACACTCCAAGCCTCAATGAGCAATTGATGGACGTGGACTCCCATTTCACTCAAGAAAGGAGGGACGACGCGTCAATAAAGGCTGAGGAGTACCAGCGGCAATCCAAGAGGTATCACGACAAAAAAACTGTACCTTGGGCGTTTGAGGTAGGAGATTGGGTCCTACGTAAAAGGGAGAAAAGTCAGCCTACTAAAGGAGGAAAATTAGCCCAAAATTGGGAAGGACCATACCGTGTGGAGAAGGTGGTGCGCACAGGCACCTATCAGTTAGCTACATCGGAAGGGAAGACATTAGACAATTACTGGAATGTGGAGCATCTAAAAAAATTCTACCAGTAAAGCCTACATGTTCAAGGTTCTGCCCTCCCATAAGTTTTCCTAGCCTCTTTCTCAAAGGGTTCTTTTCCCCTTTTATCCAAAGAGAATGGATTGTACTATACTTAATATGAAGAATAAATTTCCCATTCATTGTTCCGGTCCATGAGATAAGTAAAAAAAAAAGAAAAAAAAAGAAATCAACATGATGACCGTTCCAAAACAGAGTACATAGTGACTTGAAAATTCAAGGCGAGGGAGAAGAACGAAGGAAAGAAGGCTCTGGTCCCATGGGTTTTGGGACCCCTAGAAACTTCAGCCAAGGATCTAGTCCGTCGGAGTAAGGCTCCAGTCCACGATAAAATTGGTCTTGGACCTCTAGACCCCCACGATAGAAACCCCGGCCATAGTCTGAAATGCGATCAGCCTCCATCCGAGCCATATGTCCCTCATATGTGAGACGCTCATTCTCGAGCGAGCGGCGGGCCTCATCAAGGGAACTCCGAGCTGAACGCCTCTCCTCCATAAGGGTTAGGTTTAGCTCGTTGACCCATTGAGAGAGTTGACGTTCAGTTTCTTCATGTTGGAGGCGCCACCTCTGCTCGACCTCTTCCGCCGCTTTCCTCGCTTCCTCCTCGGAACGACGGCGCCACACTCGCTCCAGCTCTTCCTCTGATCTCCTCCGGTGAAGCTCTGCCTCCTCTCGAACTTGGGTTTCACGTTCTCTGACCTGCCGCTCCAAGTCCCTCCTCAGGATTTCTATCTCCTTGAGATCGTGAATGCGGCTTAGATCACGTTGTCCGACCTTGGCCGCAAGCCGCTCACGATCCGAGTGGAGCTGATCATTCTCAGACAAAACCCGATCATATTCCGGACGCTCAACGCAAAAAGAGTGCCGAGATTTGAGATCCCTCAGCTCCTTTGATAAAGCAGCATTGCGATCCAATAAGCGAAGGGAATGACGCTGAGCAGATGAAGTGGCTACATAATCCGCCTGTCAAAAATTAAAGGCAGCAAGGGTTAGCGATCTTAAAGAGCCTTTAAAAAAAAAAAGAAGAAGGAAAGGACACTGACCATACGAGTGTACTCCTCTTGCATAAATGGCCAGGCCGGACTGTGGACCACATCAGGATGGTCCCTCTTGAGCTGTTGTATTTCTTGAAGCTTGCTGTTGAAATCTCGCCCTACCCAGGACGTGTATCCTGTGAATTGATAGGCCTCCCGGGCATAGGGGAAGGGTTGCTCCCCTTGCCCAGCGAGAAACCCATCATCGGCGGTCCCTAGGGGAGGACCGGCGGACACCAGAGAACCAGGGAGAGGGGTGGAGTTCCAGCCCCTCTTGTAGCGGGCTTGAGAAGAAGAGGAGGACCCGGTCTCCTGAAGCAATGGACCGGGGATGGCAGCAGGACGGACGGAGGAGGGGACGGTGGCCTTCCCAAAACTGGAGGACCGAATTAGCTCTTCCGTCTCCAAAAAGGATTGATGAATATTTGTTCCGGGGAGAGGGACAGCCCCATGACCAAAGGGAGTCCCAAAAATACTCTCCGCCGCAGAATTTGCAAAATTAAGGATATTGGACGTTTGGGGTTGGGAAATTGCTTCGTCCCCCCCACAGCCAGAGGAAGGGGAATATTCCCAGGGAGATTCCGTGCTGCACGGGATCCCAATCCCGGCCACTTGAACGTGGGGCGGCTCAAGGGACCCTTGCGAACCAGTGACGCGCCCCATCGGAAGGGGTCCACTGGTTTGAGGAATAAAATCAGGTGGGCCCATGGGCTGGGCCGAAGAAGAGGTTCCCCTGCCAAAAAGAGGGGTGTGAGGAACACCGGGGATAAGGCCGGACACCCCCAGGGTCCTTGGAGGGAAATCGTAGAGGCCATCATCTTCGGAGACGTCCTCAACCACCATCTCTTCCGAAGGGGGAGGTTGGCGGGCAAGCACCAGAGGTAGGGTCCCCGTCGCGGACTCCACTTCCTCACCCTCGGTGTCCTCCTCCGGGGAAGGATCCCTTCGAGAAGATCGTCGGCGGAGTCGAGTGCTCCTGAAAGGAGGGACCCAAGAGGAAGTTGTGTCTCCCGACGGCTCCTGAAGAGGAACATCGGGGGACACCCAGAATCCGAGACCCCAAAAATACGAGTCCTTGAGAAGGAGTGCGCGGGGAACCGGATAGCCGTTCCTGCGAAAAAGACGGAAGACCCTCTCGAGCTCCGAGTCGCGAGGGGGAAAAAGGTGAGAAGGGAACTTATCTTCCTTCTTCCGCCACACGTTGGGGAAGGGAAGATCTTCGGGAACTACCACCACGAAGAAGCGGCGGAACCAATCGTCGAGCTTGTCGACCGGGCTATCCAAAAACTGCATATCGGTCCGGGCCGTAAAGCTCACGAACCCCCGGCCCAACTCGCCATCATACTTGTGAGGACGGAAGAAAGAGAGGAAGAGCTTGAGAGTGGGTTGGATGCCTCTCTTGTGACACCGCGCCAAGAAGCCAAAAAGACTCTCGTGGGAATTGGAGGAAATTTGACCGGGAGGTATGGCGTAGCGGTTACACAGTTCGACCAAAAGGGGATGGAGAGGGAAGCGACACCCCATCCTAACCGAGTCATAGTGGACGATCAATCGACGTGAAGAGTCTTGGTTGTGCTCCAAAGTGACTCCATTGGCTTCAAGGACTTGATAATTGGGAGGAATCATCCCCCTCATTTCTACCAGTTGCGCGGGAGTGATGGAGGAAACACTCTCGTCCTCCTTGGACTTCTTGCCTCCGTTGAAGATCTTGGAAACTTTTGAGATTGTCTTCTTCATGGTGAAAGAGAATGAAATGGAAGGAGGAGGGCTGATTCTGCAAGAATGAAAGCAAAAGGATTGGGGAGGATTGTGTAAGTGTGAGAGAGAAGAGGGGGGTGGACCGATTTTATAGAAGAGGAAGAAAGGAAGAAGAAAGGGTCCACTCCCAAGCGTCACTTCCCAAGGGGCGGTCCACCATTGCCGTTTCTTTTTCTTTCTTTCTTTTTCCTGCCAACGGTCCCACCATTATTATGGTGGGGAAGGAGCCTCGAATAGCGGACAGTTCAAAATCGGTCCAGTAGCCATTAATGATAAAGAGTTGCAACTTTTGGAATTCGGTCCAGGAACATTTAAGAGGGCACTAACTCCAGACGGTCCACTCTGCCAGTTTCCCACGGTCCTTGCTGGCTTTTCTTTTTTTTTTGCCAAGGTCCCTACTGTCATAAGGGATGAGGAATCTTAAGTGGGGCAGTAATCAGAACGGTCCAATGACAAAAGCGCATCCACATGCACTCTGACTCGCCAATGATGCATTATGGGGGACATCATCTGGAGTGAAACAGAATGAATTTTGGGGTCTTCCCCTAAAAGGAATCTTTCTCAGAAAGAGAAGAAAAAACTTTCCAAATAAAAGATGCAAGGGAGACTACAGTCAAAAAATTTTTTATTTTTTGACTTGTAAAAAAAGGGGCATGTGATGGGAACCAAGCCCATCGAGAGAATACCAGCCAATTGGGCCTAGGCCCGATTCGGATCCCGTCCATCAAAAGGAGCATCCGGCCCAGGTAAAGTGTACCGGGCCGGTCACAGAAAGGCGAAAGATAAGGAAAAGAAAGAGAGGTGGGGCTTAAGAATGGACTGGAGCCAGTCCATTAAGGATAAGCCATCCCTACAGAGAGGAATCCCATGAAAAGTTTGGGGAGTCCCCCCTTTCGCTTGAAAGGACAAAGACGAGGAGATAGGGACGGATGAAGGACAGGAGGCAAGAGATGGATGGAAGGGTTTGTCCTCCACTGGACGGCCTCAAGTGGAGATACACCCCCCCTGGAGAAAGCGAGGCTGGCGCGGATGTCCTCCCAATTATCGATATTATTGTGATAACAGTTGGGAGCTTCTATAAAAGAAAGAAGGATTGAATGATTAAGATATCTTGTAATAGAGAGAGAAAATACTTGAGTGATAATAAAAAGATATCCCGGCCATCCTTGAGCATATTCCGTTCCTGAGAGGACCGAATAAAGGAGAGGACCGCCGGTTTGAGTTATGATTCTGTGAGCAGTGCTTCTATTACTAATTATTATTATTCTCGTATTATCTTTCAATATTATAAGGCCGGATACCTATATTTGGACCTGGGCCGATCCACAGTCCTAAGGAAAATATTGGGTATCCATCAACAAGTGGTGTCAAAATTATTTTATTTTATCATATATGCCATGAAAAAACAAAAAAAAATTAAATTCCCGTGAAGTTGGAATAGTGCTATGAGAAGAAAATTTTAGGACGGAGGGAGTATAATCTTACGATACTATTTTGACATGTCAAAATTTTATAACATTTATTTACTTAGATTATGATTAATAAATTAAACTTAAAATAAAGTCGATCAAACGTCGTAAACACAAACGGGAAGATAGTTTTAGGACGGAAGGAGTATAAATTTTTGTATACATTTTTACTATATAAATTTTATTTTTAAATTTTATCCATATAATCAAATAAATTAAACTAAAAATAAAATTGATTAAACATCATAATGCATAATTGAGAAAGTTTTAGTGGGTGGAGGAATTAAGTAAAAATTGGGGAGAATATTCGTTAGTGGTACATGGGTACCATTTGAACAATTTTTTAGCTTGACACGTGTCTACATCTCTTTGGCCAGAACTAATATCTACTGTTAACTATTGGAAGCAACACTGAATGGGAATGGTTTTTCAAATGCTGCACTGTCCGGGAATTAATTCGAGAGAAGAAGCTCTTAGTGCAAAGCTAGCATCTAGAAAGCGGCCTGGTATATTTGGCTTGCTATTGCTTTTCTTCAGCTAATGAATAGTGGTATAACAAGTAACTTTTTGCTCCCTTTTCCAATCATGACTTGTTATATTACACTCCCTCCTTCCAATAATGTTTTACTCATTTTTTATCAACGTGCAAATCTCCATGATTTTAAAATGATTTTATTTATAAATTGTTAAATAAAATACAAAATAAAAAAATTATATTTAAAAAACTACATCAAAAAATTTACAAAACAAGAGCTGACAAAATTTTTTTAAATAAAATAATCAATGAAAATACACAAACAAATAAGAGTTATCGAGAAGCCGTAATAGTAAATGGGTAATTCTTTTTTGGAGGGAGGGAGTAACTAACAAATATATTTTGTTCCAATAACCATTATAATACACCAAATACAATAATTCTTGAATTGTATTTATTCCTGTTAAAAAAAAAAGTAATAAATATGGAGTATGTGTCAAAGAACTGATTCAACCAAAAGCTCAAACTTGTGGTTATGTCCAGAAAAAGTTATTTATATTCTAATAGTATCTAATTAAAAAATATAAAATAAAATATTTCTATTTTAAAAAAAATAAACCAAAGAACTCTTCCTACGATAAAAATCACATTCACATTGAAAAAAACAAAAAAAAATGTTATACGGAGTATTTAATTTGTGCAGTATATATCATTATAAAAGAAACTTACCTTAATTTTTGTTTAGCTATATTCTAGCATGCTTGTTATAAATAGCAAGGTATTTTCATTTTTTAGCAAGCTAGTCAAATTTTGAATAACCCTTTGGAGCATGAAATTTTGTATATGCTTGTCAAATTATAACATATAGCAAGTCATTTGGCTATGGTTGGAGATGCTCTTAGTGTGATTGTCTTTACCACGTGCTTTGTTTGTCCACTCCAACTTTTGGAATTTGTTGAGTTTTGTTTTTGGATGTTCTTTTTTTGTCCACCCATCACTATTCATCAATAATCACGTCCTTCTAATTATGAAATAGAAAATTGGAGATACTAATTTCAATTATGTTGTCTGGTAGTACAAAAATATGTAAATTTTGAATTCGTATTACCAAAAATGAATTGGAATTAGGGAATTCACAATTACATCCAAGAATTCCATAGAATTTCAGCTTACAATTCAATTTCAATTCCGTGTACCAAACAATCCCTGTGAGTGTTTTCCACTACTAGAATATAAATAATTCTTCGGCAAGATTCTTTGACTTTAGAAAGCCAAAAATGATCCAAACACTTTGGTGCTTCATTGGTAAAATTGATTATTATTATCTCTCTAATCTCTCAATTTTTTTTCTAAATAAATTCGTTCATAAAGTTCCCTAAAACTTTTTTCTTGAAATTCATAAAAATCTCTATTTTAAAAAAAAGGAGGTATTGAAATAGAATATTACTTCCTGGTATCTCAATTTTCAGTATGGAACTCTCAAGTCTCATAAGTTTTTAAAATAACTCCAAGCACGTTTAAGTTTTAAAGGTTTATAGTAATGTACTCGGAGAAGACATCTCGTCAATTCCACCGTTAAGAAGGGTGAATCCCTAGTGGACTTTGTTTTCTTTTAATACAATATTTTTGAATTCTGTTTTCTCTAACACTTTTATGAGATTTCGTTCGTTTTTTGTTTCTAGTTCCGTTTCTCCCCTTTCGTTTTTCAAGTTACGGAGTATTTTAATACTTGTATTATAAATTCTGTTGCATTTTTTGTATGTTGTATTTTCACTGTTATTTCTTTTATATATGGAGTACGAAGTATTTTTTTCATGGTTGATTCTTGTACACACCGAGAATATTTATAGCATAGCGACTAAGTTAATTATAAGTTTTGGATAAACTCTGTAAGAATTAAATTAGAGTAATATTAGTACCTGATTTTTTAAAAATATTATTTTTGGTTTTGGCCGATTGTCACTAGAAAGAAGGTTGGAGTATTTACGAGGGAGACATTATAGAGACATGCGATTTATTCTTATAAAACTTGAGATCTCTCGGAGTATTTACCCGATGGGCAAAATCTTCCGTAGATCTAAAGTGCACGCTCATTTTATGGATCTTATTGGATTTGTCGCATTAAAAAAATGCACCTTTTACAAAAAAGAATGTATTCACATGTAAGTCTATGAAAAATATGAAAAATTGGTACTTAAAAGTTAAAAATGAATCTTAAAACCATGTAATGACTGAAATATGAAAGACAACAAAAGCAATTTTGTAGCAGTGAAAGTAATTTTCTCGCGGTGAAAGTGTGAATAAAAGAGAGATAGGGTGGAAGGAAATTAAGGAGTTCCAGTCATTACCGGGGAAGGAAGGGATTATTAGTCCGTAATTATTATTTATTGAAGAAGTTGAACGCATTAATCCTACTGCCGCTTCTTCTGTCTTCTTTTACGCGTCTGCTGCAATTTCTCCGTCGGTCGCGCCCTCCTCCCGCCGCCGCCGCCGCAGTCAACCTCCGCCTTATCTCCCTCTCTCATTCGGTTATGCTTGTATTTATTATGTTGTAGTGGCAGATTCATATTTATATCTAAAGGTACAATTCGGTTACATTCATTCGTCTTTCATCTCTGGTCTTTCTTTGTTTTTTTCTTCTGTTTTGCTAATTAAATTCGATTCAGATCCGCCAAGGATTGACGTTTTTTTTTGTTCTCCTTCGTTCTAGATTTGCTCTTCTTGTTCGCGCCTTCCTCGAACCCTAGCTTGCAGATCCGTTGCTAGTTCTTTTGTTAATTTTGTTTTTCCTCCGCCGGTGGCGAGGATAATTGATTGAATCGGAGGAATGTCGGCAATGAAGGCAACGGGCCGGTTCTTCACGATCGGGCTCGTGGCGGCTTGGTACTCCTCCAACATTGGGGTTTTGCTGCTGAACAAGTACTTGCTCAGCAATTATGGATTCAAATACCCGATCTTTCTAACCATGTGTCACATGACGGCCTGCTCTCTGCTTAGCTACATTGCCATTGCCTGGATGAAGATGGTCCCGATGCAGACTATAAGATCTAGGGTTCAGTTCTTGAAGATCTCTGCCTTGAGCCTTGTCTTTTGTGCTTCTGTGGTCAGTGGAAACATCTCTCTCCGGTACTTGCCGGTTTCCTTTAACCAGGCAATCGGCGCCACCACGCCCTTCTTCACAGCCGTGTTTGCCTATTTGATTACTCTGAAAAGAGAGGCTTGGTTGACTTACATTACTCTTATCCCTGTCGTTACAGGCGTGGTCATAGCTAGTGGGGTATGATTTTTCTTTGTTTTGTTTCGTCTTCTATTTTTAGATGAATTCTTTCAATCTCTTTAGCTTTGCGCATTCTTCGTTAATTTGTTATAGCAATTTCCATAGACATGAAAGATAACATCTTTTGGAGGCATGTTTTTGGAGCTACCATTATTTCCTTAGCCATAAGAATAGCTGTTACTAAACTGCTACTGGATCAATGAACCTATTCCAACATTCTGTTTCTTTGGGATTTCTTTTCTTCTGCTATTTGCCTATTTGATCAGCTTCACTTATCCTATGCATTTAGAGTTTTTTTTGCTCAGCTCATTTTTTTGGGAAGTATAAATAACAGATCATACTATATGTATAAAGACTCCAAACTCTTATCTCCCTATAAATTCTGCTTCTACTTGCTATGGCAAGACCTTCCTTTTCGATATACTGCTGAGCTCCCTCCAACATGGATATAGGGATAGCTGAGACATTTTTTATAGGCATGCAGGGTAGCTTTGACATTATACAAAGCCAATTCAGCCTCTTTGATCCCCTGGAGCCTTTCACTCATTCTGATTGGTATCCAAATAGGACTTGTATGATTTAGCCAAATCTGCCTCGGCTTCTCTGCATTGGAGGAAGCTGCAGATGGATACAGGATACTCATTCTGATTGGTATTCAAAGTAATGTAATATCCTTGGATATGCCAGCAACCATATGGGATGGAGCTCGGCAAGAGCCTTGAAAAGCATGGCCGCACCAAAGCAGAATTAATATGGAGATATGATTTTTGGATTCTTTATATATAGTATGATATGTTTTTTATATATCACTGTGGTTTTCAATGTCGTTCATTGGTTCTATTATTTTGTGTGAGCTATATTAGTTTTGAAACCTTTTTTGTTCAGCTAATTCCTTTGTTTCTTTCCATCCTTCCATGTTTACAGGGAGAGCCAAGTTTCCATTTATTTGGATTTATCATGTGTATTGGTGCAACAGCAGCTAGGGCACTTAAGTCGGTGCTTCAAGGGATTTTGCTTTCTTCCGAAGGGTAAAAGTAGTTACCCAACAGTTATGAATAGTTTATCTTAAACAATTTGGGGATGCAAAGCTGATGCTTTTTTATTTCATTTTAAATGTTTTTACTCAAGGGAGAAGCTGAACTCCATGAATCTTCTTCTGTACATGGCTCCTATTGCTGTTGTACTTCTATTACCTGCAACGCTAGTTATGGAGGAAAATGTTGTTGGTATAACGTTAGCACTTGCAAGGGAAGATGTCAGAATCATATGGCTACTGCTATTCAACTCTGCACTTGCCTATTTTGTAAACTTGACCAATTTTTTGGTTACAAAGCACACCAGTGCATTGACTCTCCAGGTATATTTTCTAGATATTCGGATTCAAGATATCATTATGATCCTTCTATTGTAGAGATTTTATGGTGCAACCTAGTTTTGCCAAGATTTTAATTTTATCAATCATTTAGGGTCTGTTTGGATCCTACAGAGGAAGGGATCTGGAAAACGTGAGGAAAATTAGAAGGGAAATGTGAAAGGCTATAGTAATAATATAGGCTAGAAATTAATGGACTAATTGTAGATACAAATTGATATTTACAACAGCGACAAACCCAGTATAATCCCCCAGCTCTGTTGGGCATGCTTTAAAAAGCACTTATGAGGCTTGTTGTGCGGCTTGTCTCAGGGTAAGGTGCTCTGAATGGGTATCAAGGCTTAAGCCTTGTTTCAGTTGTTTGCATAAGAAAGGTTTACATGTCAAAGAAAAAGGCTTATGCCTTGAGGCTCACCTCAAGGCTTTTTGTGAGGGGGAATTTTTTCTAGACTATGGAACTATAAATAACTAGGCCCGTATATGAAAATTTAGTCTAGTAGCTAAGAAACAACATATACTCTATTGTTCGCTCTATTATGCTGCTCCCCTAACTGTACAACAACAATACCAACCAAGTTAAATCCCACAAGAGTAGGGGGTCTGGGGAGAGTGTGTGTATGCAGACCTTACATCTACTCGAAAGTAGAGAGACTGTTTCCAAAGAGACCCCCGGCTCAACGTCGAAAGTTGCATTGCTTGACTAACTGCTACTTTATTAATTAAAGAAGCGCATAAGGTTTAGAAATCCATTTTGATTTATTCCATCACACCCCAAAGCCAAAAAATGATGAAATTTTGGCTCCATCGGAGATGATGGAAAGGCTGCTCCCCTAACTGTGTGATTCAGAAATCCCCATCACTGCATCATTCATCTTTCTTTTATTTTTTCTCTGATGCTCCATGCTTTTGTTATTATTATTCTCCTCCTAGTCACTCCCCCCTGTCTTTTCAATTTGTTCTATTATTCATCTGTGTTTTTCTTTGTTGGTTTCTGAATAGGAGTTTTGTTTGAAATGTTTGTATATAGATATATTGCAGTTTACATGGTGATCAATTTAATAAGAAGTTTCCGTGGTGCTACTCTTAGTTGTAGATTTATAGTGAATGTCTAAGTGATCTACATTAGTTACTAGAAAGAGAAAAGACATGGCTTGGTCAGTGTTGAAGTACAAATTCCATGAGAAAAAAAGTGTTACACTCATTTGCATTAAGTATTTTTATTTGTTTGTATATTTTGAGGTTTATGCCTTGCCCCTCTGGAATAAAACATATTGATACCCAAACTAGCCTTCTTAACTTTTCTATTGGACTATGGTGGGGCCACACATTCTTGCCCTGTAAAGAAACAGAGAGGGTGTTCCTGTTAGACATATACGTTGATATGTATTTCTTATGCCAACTATATAAAGACAACGGAATCTGATATTTGCAATAAAAAAACTGGTAAAGTCTGAAATCTCATTTTCCTTGGCATTTTTTCGAGCTATAACTAAACACAAGAAAACTCTCCTCAATTTCCCCATTCCTGTAGCACTTTCCGTGACCCAGAGTATAATCTCCTTATGGAAGGAACAAAAGTTTTGCCTTTTCATTGTATTTGATAACCTCTGCAATGTTTTTTAAGCTGGGATCTCAACACTCCCAAAAATCAGTTCAGACTGATCTTACCATTTTCTAGATCTTCGTGAAAATTTGAGAATGTGACTGCAAATGCGACAGTTGAGAGTGTGTGACACCTTTGATTATGGGCTGCATTTTATTGTAAAGGGCAATCTTTGTCTTTCTAGGCCCCGTTTGGATTTTGAATGTGTTTAGCTAGGGAAAATAAGAAGAGGCGAGGGAATTATTAAAACATGTCTTCAAACTCAATAAATTTATTTAAGACATTTGTTCAACCTTGGTGTATAGTGTATACTAAGTATATTTTATTTTCTGTCATATGAAGTCTAAGAAATCTTAACCTCTGTAAGATATTAATAACAGCATTCATTTTTTAGTTACAACAAAACTGATGAAAAATGTGGCATTTTCCCCATTTCCCTAGTGTTTTGCACGTTCCAAACATATCCTTAGTGCTCATAAAGGGTTGTTATTGGTTCTCACAGGTTTTGGGGAATGCTAAAGGAGCGGTTGCTGTGGTCGTGTCAATATTAATATTCAGAAACCCAGTATCAGTCACAGGGATGCTTGGCTATACACTCACAGTTTTTGGTGTTATTCTCTATAGCGAAGCCAAGAAACGCAGTCGGAAGGATTGATGTGGGGAAAAAGCACCAAAGTATGACTTTCAAGTTTTAAATTTTGCATTGCAATGGGAGGGATCTGTTCAAGTTTCAATGACTAGAAACGGATCGCACACACCCTGCAGTTGTATCTCGAGATTTTGTCCTCAAATTTGCATGGAATTTGGCAAGGATTCGAGGAATATGCGCCAACAACCACGTGTCTCAGCCAGTCGGCCCAAACAGGGGAGTAGTAACTTTTGATTTCTCTCCATTCTTCTCACATGGAAGGGTTAATGGAACTTTTAAAAAAAGAAAACTTTTGGAAAGAAATTGTAGAATTCAGTATACACATCTTGTGTTATATATAATTTTTTTCATATTCATTTGAGCCATAATGAAATTTAATCAAATGCAGATACTATTTGATTATGTTACATTATGTTTGGTGAAACTTCGCCCGATTATGGGTCTCCAGTCCATATTCTATCTCCAAGATATCTGGCATCTCATCTAATTTCGATTCTTTGAGACTTTGTCCTCTGGGTTTTGCATGTGAGATTGTTCAATTAGATCGTCTTGATTTTCTTGATATTGAGAAGTAATGCCAAATTCGTGGGACAGAGCTTGAATCTATAAATGCAGTGGTTAGGACTTCAGGAGTGGAACTAGGAGATGAAGGCAATTGTCTAAAGAGTAAAGCCCCAATGCTAGTGAATTAGTGATAGATTTGTGAATCTATGGGTATAGGAAGAAGAAAAGAGTAATTACATGTTTAAAATTTATATCAAAAGATCTACAAAACTAACAGTGACATGATTTTATTATTTTATCAAATGACTAACGAAAATAGGAAAAAAAATAATTTTTATTTTTTAATTCTACACCATTTTCTATATAAAATGATTTGAAAATAACCGAAATAAACGATATAAATTGAGACGGAGAGAGTAGTTTCTAACTACCATTATTATATTAACTACATGCACTATATTTTTCAAATTGTTGGATTTTTCCTTTCTATAGAATATTGTCCTCTTAAGATCATGGAAGGATGATAGATATAAATTCAATCTTCCAATCTCTCTTGGACTATTTAAGAAAAATATTTATTGTGGAGAGATAACTTATCCCTATCCGTTGTTATGCGCATTTGCTTTGCCCATTTCTTGATGGTCTGAGCGGATTGATGGGGCTATATTAATTCTATATATTTTCTTAGCTTCATTCTTTTGACACTAAAGAGTAATGTCACAATATGACATTGGCCGATTCGGGCACCTATAGTGCTACAATTGAAATTTTGATAACTCTCACCCCTTTAATCTTTCGCTAAACCACTCACCCCGGCTACGCACCACTTCATCAATTGGGGTGGGGGTGGAGAATCGTGTTGGGACTGACTAGAGTGATGGGTTTACCGGACAAATTAGAGTGTGGAAACTATTACTTTTTTTTTATTTCAGCACTACATGTGGCGAGTGTCATTATTATGGCATCATTTCTTTATCCTGTCAAAAGAATGAAATTGTTATTTTTTTTTGAATAGGTTTAATCTATTGGACCCAGGTTCATTATCTAAGTTCGGCTTTAGTTTATCTTAAAAGTCAGGAATTATGTTTGTTTGCCTTAGTACACGATGTGCTTTGTTTCGGCGACATTTACAGAGTACAACTTTTCCAAATTTGATCTACTTACAATGAAAATGAACAATAATGTCTCAACTTTGACTAACTAGATAAGTTTTTTAAGGATGCGTTTAGTACACAAATTTCAAACTATATACTCGTAATTGAAATTGGAGACAATAATTCAAATTCTAACAACACAAAAATATATGGATGTGGAATTGGTGGTGTAAAAAATGAATTGAAATTGTTAAATTCAATTCCATCCAAATCAATTCCATAGAATTTCCAACTTCCAATATAATTCTAATTCCGTTAATTTTGTGTCCCAAACGGATCCCAAGAGAGGCTCAAGCCTCAATGAATACCCAGTGCCTTTAAGTATGAAACAAAGTTGTACTAGGCTTCTTTGGAGTTCCTGAGTGCATAGAAGTGGTTATTAATAGAATGGAATCAGCCTATTTATCTATAAGCCTATTTGCTTTGCCCATTTTTTAATTGGTTGGGTGGACTAACTTATTTTCATTATTTTTCTAATGGGTCAAATCTTTTGAACACATCATGATCTGGGTCGGGGTTAGATTTATATTTATTCTTACAGGTCACGTTTCCATTACATTGCAACCATTAAAGAACGGATAAATCATCTATTTCCATCCAATTCACCCAAAAAAAAGTCTCATATTGAACCGATGAGCTTCGACTCCGAAAATGCGAAGCCAATCCCAACTTACAAATAACCAAACCCAAGACAGGCCAATAGATCTAAGATTTTAAGAGGATGAAATGTACACAGACCTTACCTCTAGAGAGGTTCCGTGAAAACCAGCTAAGAAAGAGACCATTGGCAAATGATGAAATGTCAACATAGAGTACTACAACAACTGTTCTACATGCCAAGTTCAATAAATCAAGACTGAGTTCATTGTAGTATTGCACCTTTCCTTTGTTACAATACAATAAATTAAAACAATCCTAATATAAAGCGGACCGATAATTTTATCTTTGTCTGATGTCGGGATTAAAGATCCCTAGTGATTTGATCTTGAATATCTACCCTTAAATAACAAGTGTATGAATCTATAATCTGTAGAGATATATATATGCATTCCTGCCCAGCTTTAAAGATAGAAATGTACCTACCATATTGGCATGGCTGTTGTTGGGGAGAGGTAAATCTCATTTGTCAAAGAGAGTTGGAAGCGGCAGCTCCAGTTAAAAGGCGTCTAGCACCTCTGACAAGTTCTTCTTTCACCATGAATAACACAGCAGCAGCTAGAACACTCTGAACTATTTTTGTGCCCATCCCATTGTAAAACCCATAAAAACCTTCGTGCGTCATCATCTTCGCAATGGCATCGAATGTGCCTACAATTTATTTGAAAAGTGAAAAACAATTTTTTTTATCGGTGTTTAGAAAAATCATTGGACCTATGGAGATTGTAGCGGTCGATTTGCCATTCTCCCTATTGCAGAATCAAGTATCTACTCTCTACTATATTCAAAATGAGTCTTTTTAAAAACTTAATTTTGCTGCAAAAAAACATGTATGGGGAGAATGAATTATTTTTAACCTTTTCATTGTAGTTAAGGCCTTGTTTTGCAACCCGGGGAGGTTTCTCTTTTCAGTTTTTAGTTTTTTTTTAAAAAAAAAACTAAACCAGATTTTGGAAAGTAGAATAGGTTTGTTTTCTGTTTTCAAAATTAAAATGATTTGAATAAGTATGAATACTTTTGGCTTATTCCACATTGTATATAATGTAACCTTTGAGCTCATAAAACCAAAAACAGAAAACTCACAACTACCCAGAACGGGGCCTGATGTAAACTTTTGAAAAAAAACATAGATGCTTGAAACGAGTTAAATACGTGTGTTTTAGTTAAACAAAAATATAAAATATATCTACCCTTCAATATTTCTAATAGTTTCAGCATACCAAATTTTAAAACTTATACCTTGGCAAAACAACTTTTTTAAAGATGTAGGTAGTATAGCAACCACTGCACCAAACCAAACAAGTTAAAGAACCATAGGGACTGACCTTTATATTGATGTCTTTTATCAACCCCATTAACTTGCTTTGCCTGAAGTCTTGACTGCAAGGCAACAAAATAATTTAGCTTAAAGAAAATCTGATGAACTACTAAGATTTTTAAGCTTCTACAACTATAACAACATACCCAGTGCTTTTTATAAGCTTCTAGAGTTTCTGAAAACATAAACCAACCACTAACTCTTCGAATGATTTTACCAAAGCTATTAGTCTTATCATAAAAAAAGACCGGGATTTATGGGGCATAGCACCTTAACAACCAGAAGAGGATATGTCACGACTGTGGCTCCAAGTTTTGCCAGTGCTCCAAGCAAAAATATCTAGCCAGGTTGATGCCCATATGAGTTTTCTGATAAATACTCCGTGAAACTGTAATAATTTAGATTGGACTTACCTCCAAAGCAGTGACATCAGAGGCTTTATTGCTGGAGGCTCGTCGTTTTTTTAGCTTTTTCAAAAGGGTCTCATACAGCATAAACTGTATGGATGGATTGCTGACCTGTATTTAAAGGAAAACAATCAGCATCCACTAACCCCATAAAACAGTAAGAATCATGTCACTTATACCATGATCAACGTCGGGACAACACCTTTCCAAAATCCCCAAAATCCAGCTTCATCATATACTTCATTTATCTACGAAAGAAAATGTCCCCTATTAGGAATTTATTAAGCAGGCCTTTAGTATCACATGCATTCTAAAACAAATATTTCCAGAAAGCTTATGCCGGTGTTGTTTGAAAGTATAATATCAGTCTTTTGAGGCATGGGTAATGCTATATGAGGAAGGTGAGTAAACGCACTGCATGGGTAGTCCCGTAAGGAGGAGGTTCAATAGCAGCAAGAATCACACCCTCTGTTGTCGCAGCTCTGGTTGAACTATTTTTGGATTTTTTTGAATGAGTCTGCATGAATGAAAAATGAAAGGGAAAGTCTCAAAGAATTCAGCACAAGAGGTAAGAAGCTTAACTGTACTCCATATATACACACACATAAACGACATAAAATAAATATAAATCTCCATTCCCCAATTCGCATTTTCTATTTTGTGTCCCGTTACATAGTCATAAAAGTGATAAACCCAACCACAGGCACAAATAGGCTCTTCCACAATCATCTTCAACAGTGAAAACAGCCTTAGTCTTTTTAACTTCGCGTCTCTAAGCAAACTCTATTAATGGTGTCGTAACCCTTTATGTTGATTCTGTGAAATTAGAGGACTGTTGTCATACATGAAGAATGATTGGCCTCGGGTATGAGCCATAGGGCCTCTACTACCTTCCTCCTAATCCAATTACCCATCATAATGGTTAGGGCCATCCAGGTTGTTAAAAGTCCTATGTTTGTCAAATAATCCATCAGAATCATCACTAAAGTGCAGACACGTGACATTGGAAATCAACCTGGATAGTCCTTTCCGTGAAGGGTCAATAACAGAGCTGAAAGCCCATTTGATCTAGTTCATTCAGATATTTGGGTCCTAATAAAAGAAGGGAGACATAACAAATGAAATGTAAATCTTGGGATTTTCTCTCTTTCACTAAACACATGCAACTATACTACATTTGAAAGACCAATACCATTATTTATTGGTAACTATACTACATGAACTCATTGTACATGAGTATGACCTCTTTAGCATGGATCGGTTACCTGCATGCGGGTGACAACTACCCATATGGGATTAGTCAGCAGCACGTTTACACACCTGTAAAATTAAAAGCCAAATAAACCAATAACACTGGTATATTAGTGACACATAGCTGAAAAGAGGGGGAATAATACAAAAACAACCAATGTCAATCAATATCACGCATTCATGGAAGTAAGATTCCTATACCGGGCATCCCATACATTCACTTTAACTATACACATTGACCATAGTTGAGGTAGTTATTTACCCAGATAGAGCAGCTACTACAAGTGATGATAACATTCCCACTGAACCATCACCAATCCCTCTCTTCTTACGATCAAGGGCAGAAGCTTCAGCTTTGTTCCTAAATACTTGATAGAAGTAGTAATAGACACCCTGTATGAAGAAAAACAAAGTTATGGTAGACCAGGTCTAACAAACTTTTTGTCAAAATAACATTAAACTACTTGACCAAGCACGATGAATTATTTGAATTATAGTGGTTATGAAATATGCTTGCAGAAAAAATTCTATTGGCAGTTACATAGGATGTTTTTTAGTTTTACTTTATTTAAAGTTGATTAGTATTAAAAGGCTAATTTTTTAACACATGGGTTAATCGTTTTTAGAGCTACACTTGAGGTATGCAACTTTAAAAAAAAGTAAGGGTAATTTGATCAGCACTAGTAAGGGTAAAAACATTTAAACAACATCTCACAATCTCAACTAGGAACCAGTTTGATAAAAATATGATCTGAACGTCCCACATGTGTATGACTAATGACAAAAAGGCATTCAAAGGTAATAAAATGCTCTAATACAGAGCATCTTATCTTTATCTATCCCAATTTTTAACACAGGAAAATGGACACAACCTAGATAAATTGCACTTAAGATAAACATTTAACAAAAAATCCATTAGATTCAAAGAATTTCAAACCTATAATTATCATGGTCAATATATATTTTTTCAATTCATGAATATAAGTACTCCCTTTGTCCCTTAATAATCTTCCCACTTCACTTTCTTGGATGTATCTAATTAACCTTCTCATTTCCTTTTAAAGAAAGAATGCTAAGGTTCACATTCATTCTCTCTTCTTTGTACACATTTCAACCACACAATTTCACCTTTCTTAAACTCCGTGTAAAGTTCAAACGGAAAGAATATTTAGGGACGAAGGGAGTTTAACTTAACGGCCAAAACATTAATATCCACACCAAGATAAAAAAAATGTGTAACAAGCACAGTTAACCACAAATATGCAAAATGGATGGATGGCTCTATCCAATTGTTAATGTATATCATTTGAACAAATTTCAATGAGAAGTAAAAAGCAACCAAAGATAGAGGCCGCTTGGTACCCAAGAAAAATTGGAACTTTCTAGGCATCTATGGAAAGTCAAAGGGAGCTGAAAATAAAGGCCGCTTGGTAGTTGGTACCCAAGAAAGTTTGAACTTTCTAGGCATCCATGGCAATTTAAAATGTCAGAAAATTATTCTCAGGTTTTCTGGCACGTTGCCCTGAGAAAAAAAATAGCCGACCCCACCTAGTGGCATCAGGCTTTGTTGTTGTTGTTGCCCTGAGAAAATCAAGGTCAATGCACATTTGATCCATTGAAACAAGTTTAAATAAATTCAAAAATAGAATTTTTTTGTGTTAATCATCCCGATCAAACATAAACTGAATAAACACATAAAAGAATAAGAACAAAAGTTCTTCTTATTAATGATCTAAAAGGCTACATGTAGTACTTGAATGTGATTAATTAGATGATTGTGATGGAGCACATACCATATAGACCTTTTATATATGTTGTCAATCGCTTTGGGATACACATGCATAATGGTAAGTAGTCTTTTCCCTAAGAATTAGGTAACTACTATGTAAATAGGACAATCCGATTACAAATTTACATGAAAAATAAAATACATAAAAAAGATAGTACAATCTTGAAAATAGGTCGAATAGGATCCAAAACTTTATATACTATAAATAAGGCAAACAATGAGTGAAGTTGTGCAACCACCCAAACCTACTTACTAGAGTTTGAGGCCTGCAGTATGATAACAGCATCCATGTTCTAGACATATGGTGTGGTCTATAGATATACAATCCATAACTTAATCCGCCCGTTAAGCCTAAAATCTTAAGAAGTTATTACCCATAACATGGGAGGTATAATTCTTTTTTCCAATAAAATTGTTACCACATTATATGTTCCCGAAAATGGATGAACTAAATTCTTAGTAATTTATAAGGTGAAGAAGTAACAAACAGCCTTGAAAAGAACATCTATTATCCCTCCATTTTCCTTAGCAGGAATCTAGTTGTCAAGTAAGATTCCTGATCATTTCCTATTGCAAATTGGCACCAAAGTTCATAAATTAATTTTTTTGGGTAGCTTTTAAGAATGCCCGCCCAATTAAGAATCTGGACATTATTCCTTCATCAAGAATAAGTGAGGACTCACAAGAGTTACACTAGAGCAGAAGCGCACACAAAAAAGATGCATACGGCCAAAACATATGTGAACTTGATACTGCAGTTAGGGAGAAATATCGGAAAACTAACCTGAGAAGCCGCCGTTCCCACCAGAGAGGGTGTCAAGCCGCCATATAGCCGATCCCACCCCTCTTGCCGAGCAACCTATTAGGAATCCCCAATTCACTACTCAATGTAATTGTAAAATAAAAAAAAAAAACCTAGCGTTGATAGATTGATTAAGCAAATGATATTGCCTGACACATTTGCTCAATAGTACTGAGCCGCTTCTTCTTCTCCTCCTTCAATTCTCTCTGCGTTTGCTGCCGCGTATTTACCTGCATCGGATTTTTCATAGAAATTCAGAGAGGGAGAGGGTTTATAGATTAAGCAAAGCGAAATTATTTATATATATAAAAAAAAGTAAATGTACAGTTTGAAGCGGATAAGTGATGAGCTGAGCGATCATGCCGCCGCCGGCTCCGGCTAGGCCACTGATCAGAGCATCTGACATGATTACTCCTCGTTGAGTCGGGGGAGGAAAGATCTGGAGGGAGGTGAGATTGGGCTTCCGCGGGACAGTTGAAATGTGTCTGTATTTACTTTTTTGAAGTCATACGCTCCAGCTCCGTCTTCATTCGGACTCGAACCCGGTAGTTTTTTGAATACTATGTTTTCATTGGAGCTCGAATCCGGTGAGTTTTTACATGAATACTATATATTAAGTTCCTTAGTACTCAAATCACTAGAGAAATTCAAAAACTATTTACTTTTAAATATATCAAAAAAAATCAAAATGAGCTCAATAATGCACAAACATATGATTTTCTATAAGTTTGTAAATGATCTTTGTACTTTCAAAAATTTCAAAATAGTCTCTCTCATCAAATAATTGTTGCATGTATAATTATTCCTTTAGTCAAAATGTGAAACACGCGCATGTTATGCGAAAATATAAAGCATAAATCAAAATAAAGAAGCTAATCTCATAAAATTATCTTTGTTTTCGTGATTAAAAATATGGAAGGGTCTTCTATCACCTCTTATAGCACACGATATCACCCTAGAATAACTTGAAGAACAAAATCATGTCGACCTCATTTAGAAAATTACCTCCGCTCTAAAATGGTTTACCTCTTTAATTACGTTTTCTCGATAATTTTTTGTTGTTTGTAAGTTTTCATTCATAATTTAATCAAAAAAATTCTTGTCAATTATTATTGTATGGAACTCTTGATTTAGTTTTTAAATATATAATTTTTATTTCAATGCCAATTTTTTAAATATATAATTTTTATTTCAATGCCAATTTTTTAAACGGATACTGTAATTCATTTAAGTACAATCATAACAACAAAACTAGACATGAAACTGTCTCTATAAGGCCATCAGGTATGCTAGCTCTCCCACTTCCCCAATTCCCATTTTTTCTTTCTTCCAACTCCCTTTCACGTCAGTTTTTGTCTTCCATTCCCCCCCTTCAATTTTTACCATTATTTTTTAACATTATTTTAATTTAAATAATTAAACTAAAAAATGAAAAACAATAAAAATTTACTTCGAACGTTTAAAGTTATATATTTAAATTAAATTAAAACTAATATTAAAATTATGGCGAGAGGTGTTTAATATAATGTGAAGAATGGAGAATTCAAATGTACACTAGGAAGCCATATCAAAGCCCACATGTGTACTCAACGGCCGGATTTTCAAAATTTCAACAAGAGCTACTTTTTTGTCAGAAGTTGAAGATGAGATAACTTTTTGCAATCTTAACTTGGTACCAAAATTTGTCGATATGACTATTTAGCAAAGCGAGTAACATCACCCCTCCTCTTTTGGTACCAAACATAATTTAGGAGTCTACATATTTGTCAAGCATGCCACATCTCTCTCTCTTGATCATCTCTTTCTCTCTTTCTCCACTTTAATCCTTTATATTTAGAAAAAAGCTTAAATTAATAATTATAACCTATATATACAAACACTATATATATATATATATATATATATATATATATATCACCAATTTTAAATCTTACTTTCTCAAAATTCTACTCCCTCCGTCCTATAATGATCTTCCCGGTTCACAAAACGAAGAAAAATCCCAAATTTTTTCAATCTATTTTATTTAAATATTGGTAAAGAAATAAAAAATAAAACATACATATTTAAAAACTACACCAAAAGTTCAACAAAACAAGTGGTGACAAGAATATTTTATTTTATCATATAGGCCATGAAAAAACACAAATAAATATAAATTTCCGTGAAGTTGAAATAGTGTTCTGGGAAGATCATTATAGGACGGAGGGAGTAATTTTTACTTACTTTTGAAAAAAAACTGGCCTATTTTTATATGTTAGTTTATATATTTAGGGCCTGTTTGGGAATAACGTTAGAGATTAGCGTTTTGGATAAAATTTTAACGGTGCAGATCGCTTTGAAAACGCTTACGCTAAACGCTGCCCGTAGATAGCTTTTTCAAAACGCTAACGCTGTTCCCAAACAGGCACTAGTATTGTAATGTTTTATGTTACTCGATCCCTATTTCTTAGTTGTATTTTAATATCATATTTATTTAATACGTGTCATCTTATTATTAATAATTTTTATTTTGGTTTCTATTTTTAAGTAATTTTTACATTGATTTGTAGATTATAAAAATAGTTTATACGGAGTATCATTTGTTTACTTCTAATTTTTGCTCTCTAAAAAAGTAAACAATTTTTTTTGTATGTTAGTTTCTATCTACTATTGTAATGTTTTATGGTATTTCTTATTCGTATTGTCATATCAATTTAATTTAATGAGTGTTATCTTATTTTTAATAATTTACTTTGGTTTCTATTTTTTATATAATTTTTACACTATTTGTAGATTTTAAAATTAATTTATATTGTTAAATTAAGTTTAATTTTTTAAAAAATTAATAGTAGTATGATGACAAATTAGCGTATGTACCCCGTCACTTATTTGTTTTAGAGTCCCTCTTTTTCAGAAAATAAAAAAGATGAGTTCATGCTCCTTAGGTCTGACTCGGACAATATATATGAAAAAATTGAAGTTGTTCTAATTTCAAATGAGGAATAAGAAATGACACTATCCAAGAGTCACTTTTTCAGTTTGAACAAATAACCATGCTACACCAATTTGTACACTAAGATTTTGCACCACATATACAAAATGTCAGTGTGGAGTTTTTGATCAAACTAATATTTTGTATCAATTCAATGCAAAATTAAAATAATATATAGACTATACATAATCTATGAATTAATAAAAATTTAAAAAAAAAATCTTTTAAATTTGAATAAATTATACATCTTTATTTAGAAAAAACCATTTTAGGTAAACACTTCATTAGAAATTATCATTTTGTGAGCTTATTCTAAATTTAGTTGGTAAAAATACAAAAATACTCCCTAATTAATCATCGTCATTTGAGTAACTATAAATACGAATGACTATCTCAGGAATAAATTTCAATTATACAAGACCACGTAGGTAATTAAAACTTATTGAAAACTGATATGGGAAAAAACACCTTTTAGAGAGGAACATTTTTTAAATTTACTATTAAAATTTAATCTTTTATATATGGAGTATTACATTTTACTTTCATATAATTCACAAGAAATTAAATCTTTTAAATATGGAGCATTACATTTTACTTTTGATTTTCTCTTTTCTTTTTTTAATTTTTATTTTAACTTTTTTACATATATTACTCCGTATTAAATATCTTTCAAAAAAAAGTTTAAAAAATCAATTTTTCTAACAGTTTGACCTTTAAAATCGAATAGCCAATTTAAAAAATCAATAGTCTAATACGGAGTAATAATTTTGATTGTTTGATAATTCTAAAAAGCGAGAGTTAATTTAAAAAGCCAAAAATTACGGGAAAAGCAAAAGCTATTTGCCAACGCAAGTTATTTTATTCTATTCATCCCTAAATATTTGACACACCTGTATTTCCGAGATAAAATATTACTTCATCCGTTCATAATTTGATTACAAATTGCGGGTTACGAAATAAAATTTCCTACTTTTTAAAATCATTTTATTTACAAATTAGTATATCAATAAGCTATAAAAATTACATATTAAAAAACTACGTCAACAGTTCTACAAAACAAGAGGTGACAAGAATATTTTATTTTATTAAATACTTGATGAAATCGCGTAAACAAACAAAAATTATCGAGATGAAAGAGAAAAAAAGATTATACTCCCTCCGTCCTAAAACTTTCTTCTCAGAGATCTATTCCAACTTTACGAGAATTTATATTTATTTGTGTTTTTTCATGGCCTATAGGATAAAATAAAATATTCTTGTTATCACTTGTTTTGTTGAACTTTTGATGTAGTTTTTAAATATGTATGTTTTATTTTTTATTTCTATACCAATATTTAAATAAAATAGATTGAAAAAACTTGGGATTTTTCTTCGTTTTGCGCAACGGGAAGAAAATTTTAGGACGGAGAGAGTAATCTATTTAGGGACGGAGAGAGCTTGTCAAAAAAATACTCCGTAAATAAAAGTTTTTGGGACAGCTGAACAATCAAAAGTTGCAAAATAGGGAGTAGTTTGGTAGGTAGGGGTGGACACGGTACGGTTCCGGTTCCGGTACCGCCACCCCTTGGTACCGGTACCGGTACCGGACCGGCCGGTTCCGGTACCGTTTCGGCCACCCCTAATTTTGTTTTTTTTGCTTTTTTATTATATTTTTAAAATGTAAAATTTTAAATGTGTAATTGTTAAAGGAAATGATGAAATAAAAAAATCTAAAAATGAAATTGATAAAGAAAAGAATGAAATAAAAAAAAACGGTACCGGAACCGGATTGGACGGTACCGGTACCGGTTCCCGGAACCGGTGGACCGTACCAGCCGGCGGTAACGGTACCGGAACCGGCGGTACCGTTTCCGGTACCGGTATTGTACCGGTACCGTGTCCACCCCATTGGTAGGTAGGTTAATAGCCACCGCCTATTTATTCCTCTTCATTCTGTCCATCTCTTCTCACCCAAGTTACCGAGTACTGTTATTAACAGCTCCAAAAACCAAACATATCTGATCGATATCCCACGCGCCGCAATGGCACCTGCTACAACTCTACTCGACAGCTGCAAAATCTTCCCCGCCGGAAAGTCTTCCTCCTCCGACTTGAAGCTTTCCGTCTCCGACCTCCCCATGCTCTCCACTCATTACATCCAAAAGGGATGCCTCTACGACACTCTCCCCCCTTTCCCCCACTTCGTCTCCTTGCTCAAGTCATCCCTTTCCCACACCTTGATCCACTTCCCTCCGCTCGCCGGCCGCCTCGCCACCGACTCTACCGGCCACATTTACGTCACGTGCAACGACGCCGGAGTCGACTTTGTCCACGCCGCCGCCGCCGGCGTTTCCGTCGGAGACGTTCTCCGCTCCCCCGGAGACGATGTCCCGGATGTGGTTAAAGAATTCTTCGCGTTTGACCTGACGGTCAGCTACCGTGGCCATTTCATGCCGCTCCTCGCCGTTCAGGTGACGGAGCTCGCCGACGGGGTCTTCGTCGGGTGCTCCGTCAATCACGCCGTCACTGACGGCACGTCGCTGTGGAATTTCTTCAACACGTTCGCGGAGGTCGCCAGAGGAGTGGAGAGGATCACGCGGGGACCGGAGTTCAGCCGGGACTCTGTTTTCATCTCGCCGGCGGTACTGAAAATCCCCGACGGCGGTCCCGAGGTTACCTTCGACGTCGACGCTCCGGTGAGGGAGAAGATATTCAGCTTCACCAGGGAATCGATTTTGCGGTTGAAATCCGCCGTTAATAATATAAAATCGGAAGTCAAAGGTGACGTTGACCGCACGACCGAGATTTCGTCGTTCCAGTCACTATGCGCGTTGCTGTGGCGTGCAGTCACGCGCGCTAGGAAATTCCCTTCCTCCAAAACGACGACGTTCCGTATGGCGGTGAACTGCCGGCACCGGGTCGAGCCGAATCTTGACCCGTTTTATTTCGGGAACGCGATACAGAGCATCCCGACGTACGCAACCGCCGGGGACGTTCTGTCCGGTGACATACGGTGGTGCGCCGGAAAGTTGAACAAGAACGTGAGGGCGCACGGCGACGCTACGGTGAGGAGGTGCGTAGAGGATTGGGAGCGGGACCCACGGTGCTTCCCGTTGGGGAACTTCGACGGGGCGATGATCACGATGGGCAGCTCGCCTAGGTTCCCGATGTACGACAATGATTTCGGGTGGGGCAGACCGGTGGCGGTCCGAAGCGGTCGGGCCAATAAGTTTGACGGCAAGATTTCGGCTTTTCCCGGCCGAGAAGGCGGCGGGACTGTTGATTTAGAAGTCGTGCTGGTCCCTGAAACTATGGCGGGTATTGAGTCCGACCCAGAATTCATGCAATACGTTTCGGGTTTCTGAATGAATTTCTACGGTCATTATTTCATTTTGGCCGTTTCTTTTACTCCCCGTCTTCTTCCCGGTTCATTTTACGAGGTTTAACCGACTTTATTTTCAATTCAATTTATTTGATTGTATGTGTAAAATTAAAAAATAAAATTTATATATTTAAAAACTACATCAAAAGTTCTACAAAACAAGTGGTGACAAGACTATATTATTTTATTATCAACCTAATGAAAATAGGTAAAGAAAGTGATTAAAGTTTGACCGGGTAAAAAGTGAGTGAGAAGAACATTTTAGGACGGAGGGAGTATCAACTTTTCACTGGTTTTTATTAAGAAATATTTGCACTAAATAGCATCAAAACTTAAGTCATTTCTCTAAATAGCGTTTAAACTGTTTTATTTCCTAAATGGTACTTAATAATGTCCATAATGTTCACTGATGACGAATATTTACTTGAATAATGACTAATGCATAGTAACTAAAAGTGCTACATTGGGAAGAAAAACACATGTAGTGCTATATAGAGAAAGTCATTATGTTTTAGTGTTATTTAAGTAAATTCCTTTTTTATTAAACCATCCTTTAATTTTGTAACATAAAATCCAATGCATTTTTCTTTGGTGCAACAAATTTTTTAGTGAAATTTGTACTATATAAGACTAAAGCATAAGTAATTTATCTACTTAAACTTTTTTATTCTCTAAATAGGACTTAATAATGTCTAGTGAGAAAAATAATGTCCAGTAATGGTAGACATTTACTTGAATAATGACTAATGAATAATGACCAATGGTCCTACATTGAGAAATAAAAACATATGGTCATATATTGAGAAAGTCACTATGTTTTAGTCTTATTTAGTTAAATTTTCTAATTTTTTACTCATTATTAGAGAAAATAAATTAAATAAAAATAATTATAATTAACCAAACACCAATAATAAATGTGATATTTTAAGCAACAAAAGATGTAGCATTTCTTTTCATGTATTCTTTTCGTTCCAAAAAAGTTTTTATTTCAATTTTTACACATCAGTAAATAAACCTCTATCTATATCTATAATGTCTAAGATTTATCACATTTCTTTTTACTACGGGGGTAGAAGTAGTTTTTGTAGTATTTTAAATATCTTAGATGAGATAGAAATTTTTTATGAAATGTGCAAAAAATGAACAAGGAATTTTTTTTAAGTACGGATGATAATTTTAATTTTTACATGATAAAATTGGGATAGAGTAACAAGTGGGCCAAGTGGCTATTAATTAGACTTAGGGTTTAATTTGTTCATGATGGGAAATATTATCTAACTAGGATTTCTCCGTCTAAATTTTTTCAATTAATATAACCACAATTATCATCGCCAATTACTCTTCACAAATTACCCCATCATCATCCCTGAGTCAACTTCCTACCATAACTATTATCATCGCCAATTACTTCTCACAAATTACCCCATCATCCCTAAGTTAACTTCCCAGGCCACCATAACCGTTTCCACCATTTACTCCTTTCCTAAAATGCATCCAGTATCATTTCCCACTCCATGATTTCCATACTCTCTTATATACTACTCTTTCCGTTCCACAAAACACTTTCACTTTCTATTAAAAAATCACTTTTACCCTTACTTTTTCATACTTTACCTATCACATCAAACTTTTTTCCTAATAACCAAACTATTACTCCGTACATCTTACTTTTACCCATCACATCAAGGGCAAAATTAAAAAGTCAACCAAAATTACACTTTCCTTATTTTTGCCAAAAGTCAAAAGCGAAAGGTTTTAAAAGAACGGAGGGAGTAGCATGTAATTATACTCTTCCTCACATTACTTAGAAAATACTCATTGTATTGTTTATCTTTTATAGAGCTAAAACGCTCCATCAATGACTATAATGTCAAAATTATGTACTACGTAGTATGTATTACCTCCGAAATTAATAAAATCTTCCCCTTGGCATGGTATCTTCGGAAAAGGCCAATGATTTTCTCCCGGTTTAGGTTTTTACATTAAAAATATCTTGTTCATATTTTTGGTGATTGTTAGGTTCGTTAATGATTTTGACACAGTTAAAATGATAAAATTGATCGAAACAATTAACGCCATCAGTTTCGTTTAATTTATTTTTTTACTTATTATTACGTATTTTTATTAAAAATCAAATTAAATCAAACTATGTCAAATTAGATCAGAAACAACTTTAAATAATCAGGTCCGGCCTCGAAAAATGAAAAAATGAAACTGGCCCGTTCCGAAATTTACATTTTGGACCCTATTTTATTATTTTAGAATACTTATGCTTCAAAATTAATAATGAATTTAAAATTATTTTAGTCCTATTTAGTACAAATATTTCTTGATTGAATGCAACCTTTCCTATATTAAAAATACCAAGGTTCAAGTGACATTGAACCTTGATGTCATGGGATGGCCCGGGGATGCTCCGGTGTCCCGTTCGTAAAATTGACGATTCCTACCCCCTAACCCCCCAGTAAACCTCCCACCCGGCCACGACCCGAACACACCCCCACCCCCTTCAATTGCACCCTACAAGTTGATTTTGACTTTGGAGTCAAAATTTGACTCCAAAGTCAAAATCAACTTGTGTTGTGCAATTGAAGGGGATGGAGGGTGTGTTCGGGTCGGGGCCGGGTGGGGAGGGTTTACCGGGGGGTTAGAGGGGGTAGGAACCAAAAATTGTACGAACTGGGCACCGAAACGCCCCGGGTCATCCCATGACATCAAGGTTCAATGTCACTTGAACCCTTGCAAACAAGCTTTTCCGTAGTGCTCGGGTATGTTCTTTCCAAGATTCCTAAAAACTTAAGAGGGAAAGACTCGCAAGTTTTTCAAACGACGGACTTCGAAATCCAAAACCGACTAAGCGAAAGGGGCAACACTTTTTGTAAGGGTAAATTCTTTTTACATTTGCACTTTAAATTTATACTCCTCCCGTTTTTTTAAAAAAGTTCTTAATTTAACCAAGTGCAAAAATAAGGAAGTGTTGAATTGTAATTGACTTTCAATTTTGTCCTTGATATGATGGATAAAAGTAAATTATTAGAGAAAAAATATAATGTGATAGGTAGGGTAAGAAAAAGTAAGGATAAAAATGGTTTTTAAATAGAAAATGGAAGTATTTTGTTAAAAGTCGGAAAAATGAAAGAGGAAATATTTTTGAAAACGAAGAGTGTATTTTTTCGCGTGCACCTTAGGATCATTTACAATAACACAACTCTTATGATAATGTTATTTATTGACATTCTGACCCAATTTAGCTCCTTTATTGATCAAAATGATATTTGAGTGATGAGAGGGGATTGGGGTGGGGCTTGGGGGGCTTGGGTAGAGGGTTAGGGGGGATTAGGGACAGTAGAAACAATTACTTTTACGAAATGCATAGCAAATGCCTTAATTTGTGCGAGTGTCATCCGATGATCCGAACCCTCATTTGAGTGTTAACCGAAACATACCCATATTAGTTAACTCATCCTATCTAATGACATGAAAATCTCATATTGATGGTAATTTTGAAAATTTGTTATATAAAAAAGATGAAATCCATCCTTGATGGTCTCTCAAAATGGATCGGATGATCACTTGAGATGATGTAAATTAGATTTTATTTTCAGATTAATGACAAAGAGTAAAACCAACATAACACTTGATACTTATCAAGACATAATGCTTAAAAACGGTTGTCAGGAATTGAATTCGAGTATAATCCCCTTGGCACCCCTTAGTTTGCCTTGTCAACTGCGCAACGCTCAACAGAAAAAATTTGGAGGGCAAATCTTTTATGATAGCCGGCCCACCGCATTGCAGCCTCACCACAAGAAACTCTGACCCCCCACTCAGACATGCAAATTAGTATACACTGTTTGCCACTACTCGTTTGGTCGTACCACAAAAGGAGAGAAACACTACATACATACCGCTAGAGAAGATTAAGGTTTGAGACACTCCGTATATTTATAGATATATATTGACGACGAGTACGTGATGAAGATTACAAAAGCATATACTCCCTCCATTCCACAAAACCCTTCCTCTTTCGTTTTTTTGCTTTCCACAAAACACTTCCACTTTCTATTAAAAAACCACTTTTACCCCTACTTTTTCATACCCTACCTATCATATCATACTTTTTCACTAATAACCAAACTATCACATCTTACTTTTTCCCATCACATCAAGGGCAAAATTGGAAAGTCAACCAGAATTTCACTTTTCTTATTTTTCCCCAAAGTCAAAACCGGAAGGGTTTTGTGGAACGGAGGGAATATATATTTAGGGTATTGCTACGGTCCCTTTGAAAAGGAAGGGGCATGATGCCCCTCCACTCAATTCTTGCGTGGATTGAAAATCAAAGTGATGTCCACCTCATTTCAACTTTTCAAAATTAGAAAATTACCCTGCCTTTTGTCTGTTCACATATTTGGACGACACTGACGGAGCCCTGTTACTCCAGCCCGTCTCTTTTTTTTACGCACCACCAATTCGCATTCGGAAAAAATTGACTCTGCCCGGCCCCTTCTTCATCGCAATCACAGCGCCGCCGCCGTTGCCGAGACATCTTCTTCAATTTCCGACCAGGTAATCCATTCATGTGCTCAACATGTTTGATATTATCTCTAATTCTTCTGAAATTTCTGTTTGGAACAAGGATGTCTCGGCGACGGCGTCACAACTGCAGCATCGGCGGCGGCGTCGGCAGTGGCTTATCCTCTTTCGGGGCGGCGCTGTGATTGCGATGAAGAAGAGGCCAGCGTAAGTTTTCTCTGGATTGCGATGAATGGGGCAAGGTAAAAAAAGAGACGAAGTGATGAGTAACAGGGTTCCGTCAAGTGCAGTCCAAGATGTAACACAACCAAAAAGTCAGGAGTATTTTAGAATTTCAAAAAGATAATGTGAGGTGAAATAATTTATTGATGACTCTAATTTTGAGTCCACTTGGCAAGAATTGAGTGGAGGGGCATCCATGCCCCTTCCTTTTCAAGGGTACCGTAGATATATTTATTGTAATAATTAAGGACTTTATTCAGTCTGACTCTCTATTTACGATCAGGAAAAGGATCGTAGGAAAAGGAGCTTTTAATCAAAGTGTTAGACAATAAAACTAATATTACTTCTGGTAGTATTGGTTATGGTAGTGTTTCATTATTAGTCAGCTTTCTAATCCTATTTGTGGTAGATGTTGTATGTTAGTTAGTTTCCATTCTTTATTCCTAGTTGTGTTAGGAGTCTCTCCTATATATACTCTATCATGTACTCCATAATTCAATGAGCAATATTAATATTCCAATATTTCAACATGGTATCAGAGCTACCGCTCTTGATGACCTAAAAAAAGATCTTTGCTCCCACCGCCGCCGCCGGTAATTGCAGCGACGGCGGCTCCACCCTATTCACCTCTATTTTCTTTTTATTCTTTATCCTCAAATCAACTTCTCCATTCAAATGAAAAAAAAAACCCTTGTTGAAATCACATAAAAAAAACTATCAAAAGAAGAACTTCTCCCTTGTTATCTCCATGAATCTTCAAAAAAAACCCAACTCCTCACAAAAAGAAAAAAAATAATTGTTGTTTCTCTCCAATTCACCATATCAAAATCTCATACCCAAATTTTTTTTTTCTATCTCCAATTCTTAACCTACTTTTTCTCTCTAAAATCACTCATTCTAATCATCAACCTCCCTTCTCTTTCTTTTCTGTTGAACCAATAAAAATCCAAAGTAAATCAGCACAAAAGCAAAGCCAAGAGGGGAAGTAGTGAAAGAGGAAATAAGACCTCTACAACTCACCCCTTCAAAAAGGAAATAGGACATTGCCCGGATCCAAGAAAAAGACAAAAAATGTCAAGGATCTTCAGTCAAACAGGCACCTCCAGTAGCCTTCTCTCTTCTTCATCGATGTCAGCAGCTACTAGCGCACGTCAATTTTTCTCTTCTCCAACGACGTTAGCAGCTACCAATGCACGTCAGACTTCTCTCTTCTCCAACGACCTCAGCAGCCACCGACGGGCGTCAGACTTCTCTCTTCTCCCAGGGCGTCAGCAGCCACCAGCGCACGTCACACTTCTTTATTCTCCAACGACGTGAGCAGCCACCGGCGAATGTCAGATTTCTCTCTTCTCAAAGTTTCCTGTTTCCAGCTAGTGTCCAAGCTTCATCTTGCTTCAGCGAGAGTTTAGCTTGAGGGGGGATGTTAGACAATAATACTAATATTACTTCTGGTAGTATTGGTTATGGTAGTGTTTCATTATTAGTCCTAATCCTATTTGTGGTAGATGTTGTATGTTAGTTAGACTTCATTCTTTATTCCTAATTGTGTTAGGAGTTTCTCCTATATATACTCTATCATGTACTCCATAATTCAATGAGAAATATTATTATAATTCTAATATTTCTACGCAAAGTGCATTACAATAATTATTGATCCTGCGTAAATAGTAAATACCCCGTACATTTGCACACCAAATAGCACTGAAACATGACAAACACGGAGAAAAAAAGAGAGTAGAATAATTAGTAATTAGAGTGGATTGTTTAAGAGAGCATTGGCGGCCCCATCCTGCAGGCCGGAGTTTCCAAGCGGAAATGATATATATGCCTCTCTTCTGTGAGTGGGGCTCCCACCACAAGGCGCAGAACGTATTTGTTGTGAGAGATCAGAGAACATCTTCCCAGAGGAGTTGTCGTATTCAAGAAGATCGCCGCTGAGTTTGTTGGAATGAGCTTTGCCGTCGTCATTCCCATCACCAGCTGGCGACCGGAGCCGAAAGCACACTAACGACAAGTTTCTGCGCGTCACCACCTCGAACCTGGGGTCGCCCGAAACAAGTCCTTCAAACAGTTTGGCCAATTCTATATGGTTCCTCAGGTAGTTTTGAAGCATCTCCAGGCCATACAGTCTTAAAACCATCCATAATTTAAGCGATCTGCATGCATGCATGCGTGGTTATTAAGTCATTTCTCTAAATAATATTTCCTCTGTCCCTAAATAAACTTTCCCTTTCGTTTTTTCTTTGCCTCCAAATAAACTTCTCCTTTCCCTTAAAAACCATCTTTTACCCCTTACTTTTTCATACCTTATCTATCACATCATATCTTTTTACTACTCCCTCCGTCCCGTGAAACATGAAAGTTTTGCTTTTTAGGAGGAATTTAAGGGGAGTGTATTTTGTTATTGAATTTCCAAAAATGTCCTTTGATGTGATGGAAAAAGTATGATTTGATGGATAGATTATTAGTAAAAAGGTATGATGTGATAGTTATGGTATGAAAAAGTAAGGGGTAAAAGTGACTTTTTAATAGAAATGAGAAGTGTTTTGTGGGACGGATAAAAAAAGAAAGGAGAAAGGTTTTATGGGACGAAGGAAGTAATAATCTACCTATCACATCTTACTTTTACACATCATATCAAGGGTATTTTTGGAAAATCAACACAAAAATATCCCTCCCTTAAATCTTCAAAAAGTTAAAAATGGAAATTTATTTAGGGACGGAGGGAGCGTAACACTTATATTGTTTTATTCTCTAAATAACATTTAATTATACTCACAGAGTATTAAATTAAATTAAATAGGTTTTGGTAGAGATGTGAATATGTGATTGAGAAGCTAATATATGAGCTAGGAAAGAAGTACTCCCTCCGTTCCACAAAACTCTTCCACTTTCGTTTTTTTTGAATTTCCTAAACACTTTCACTTTCTATTAAAAAACCATTTTTACCCTTACTTTTTCATACTCTACCTATCACATCAAACTTTTTTCCTAATAACCAAACTATCACATCTTACTTTACCCATCACATCAAGGGCAAAATTGGAAAGTCAACCAAAATTACACTTTCCTTATTTTTGCCAAAAGTCAAAAGTGGAAGGGTTTAAAGGAGGGAGGGAGTATTGTATATATACCTGAACCTGCGACCAAGAGGAATTTGCCAATCTTTGTAATCTACCACCATGTATACCTGAAAATGGTATTTACTTTTACATGTGGGATCGGAGAAATTAATTGTACGTATGAACAAAGAGATGCATAGAATATTATTAGCTAGGTACTCCCTTACTCTATGCAAAATCTTTCTCGTTTTGATTTCTATATGATCTAAGAGAAATGTATTTTAATGCTGATATTCCAAAAATATCCTTGGATGTGGATAAAAATATATAAGATGTGTTGCATAGATCAATAATGAAAAAATGTGATATAATAAGAATTAGTAAGAGTAAAAGTGATCTTTTTAATGGAATTCAGAAATACTCCCTCCGTCCCTAAATAAACTTTCTCTTTCGTTTTTTCTTTGTCCCTAAATAAACTTCTCTTTTCCCTTAAAAAACCCTTTTTACCCCTTACTTTTTCATACCCTATTTATCACATTATACCTTTTTACTAATAATCTATCTATCACATCTTACTTTAACACATCACATCAAGGGTATTTTTGGAAAGTCAACACAAAAATAACCCTCCCTTAAATCCTCAAAAAGTCAAAAATGGAACTTTATTTAGGGACGGAGGGAGTATTTTTTAAAAGACATGTAAAAAAGAAATATTTTGTAGGAGTTTGTGCATGCTCCTTGATGCCTTACCCTATTTTGAAGGTATTCAGGGTTAGTTGAGAGGGCCTGAATGAGATCATCACTTCGCTCCTTGATGCTTACCCTATATATATATTCATCAAATAATTAATAAGCATAAACAGCATAAGATAAATTACTATAAATTGTTGCTCATCATCACCAACTTATTATATATAATGCGCAAAAAGTAATTAAAAAGTAATTTAAAAGCAAAAAAAGAATAAGTACCTTAATCCAAAGCAGAGAACAGTCGAAATTGGTAAGAAACCATTTGTGTGCATTCATTGTAAAGGAGTCAGCTTCTTCCACACCGTCCAAATGGTGTCGTACACAAGACTATGGGCAACTTTGTACCATACCCAGAAGCCCTAAGAAAGACCTCATCCTTCATCTGCACGTAAGAAATTGCAATTACGAAAATATCGGGGTTTAATCACTCTGGCGACGACGGCTTAAGAGATTGAACACTGAACGGAACAACTAAGGCAAACTGAAATTAGGGTTAGACTTGCCTAGGATTGACTCGCATACTATGTAGAAATTTTATTAGAACTGAAATCGATGGCTTCATTAAACGTAAACCCGCTATTTAGGCCATCTTCTTTTAGGTTAGAATTTCAGAGTTGAATGTTACAAGAAACTGGAACGAATTAGAAAAAGCTGTAAGGAGTGAAAATTTTTGGAAGAACTAAAATGTTAAAAATTCACTCAATTAGATGACATTGGGTTTATAATATTATTGTATATTCATCATGTATTCTCTCCGTTCTTGAAAACCTTTCTCCTTTCTTTTTTCATCCCTCCCAACAAAAACTTCTTACCGTAGATAAAAGATACTAAGCTGTAGATTAATATAAAATGATGAACCCAACTCTAGTTCATTGTGGTAATTATATTCTTGGGTACATAAGTACACTACCCAACTACTAGAGTAAATATTGGTAGTGTAAGGTTGTGTTCTTTTCAATTTATTTTTTATCAAATACTCTGTACTTATTTTTAATGGAACCGGATCAGATCAGACCAAAGTCGTTCAATAACCCGAAACGTATTGCATAAATTCCGGGTCGGACTCGATACCCGCCATTATTTCAGGTGAGAGGGCAACTTCTAAATCCACAGCCCCGCCGCCTTCTCGGCCGGGAAAAGCCGAAATATTGCCGTCAAACTTATTGGCCTGACCGCTTCGGACCGCAACCGGCCTTCCCCACCTGAAATCGTTGTCGTACATCGGGAGCCTGGGCGAGCTCCCCATCGTGATCGTCGCCCCGTCAAAGTTCCCCATCTGGAAGCAGTGTGGGTCCCTCTCCCAATCCTCTACGCACCTCCTCACCGCAGCGTCACCGTGCGCCCTCACGATTTCGTTTAATTTCCCGGCGCACCACCGGAGGTCGCGTGACGCCATGTCCCCGGCGCTAGCGTGCGCGTGGATTCCCTGTATGGCGTTGCCGAAGTAATACGGGTCCAGCTTTGGGTCCACCCGGTGCCGGCAGTTCACCGCCATAAGGAACGTCGTCGTTTTGGAAGGCGGGAATTTCCTAGCGCGCGTTATTGCACGCCACACCAACGCGCACAGCGATTGGAACGACGAAATCGCGTTCGCGGGGTCAACGTCCCCGTTGACTTCCGATTTTAACCGCGAAATCGATTCCCCTGTGAAGCTGAATATCCTCTCCCTCACCGGAGCGTCAACGTCGTAGGCGACCTTGGGACCCCGTCGGGGAGTTTCAGCACCGCCGGCGAGCAAAAAACACGGCTCCGGCATAATTCAGGCCTCCGCGCGATCCTCTCCACTCCTCTGGCGACCTCCGCGAACGCGTTGAAAAAATTCCAAAGGGAGGTGCCGTCTATGACGGCGTGATTGACGGAGAGCCCGACGAAGACCCCGTCGGCGAGCTCCGTCACCTGAACAGCAAGGAGAGGCATGAAATGGACCCGGTAGCTGACCGTCAGGTCAAACGCAAAGAATTCTTTGACCACCTCCGGCGTGGACGAAGTGGGCTCCGGCGTCGTTGCATGTGACGTAAATGTGTCTGTTCGAGTCGGTGACGAGCCGGCCGGCGAGCGGTGGGAAGTGGGTCAAAGTCTTGGAAAGGGAGGATTGGAGCAAGGAGACGAAATGGGGGAAAGGGGGGAGAGTGTCGTAGAGGCAGCCCTTTTGAATGTAGTGAGTGGAGAGCATGGGGAGATCGAAGACGGAAAGCTTCATGTCGGAGGATGAAGATTTTCCGGCGGGGATAACAGTGGTGTCAGGTGTGGTAGAGTAGAGTAGTAGCAGGTGCCATGACGGGAGAAGGATGAGACAAGTATTTTGGACCCATGACCAGGGATCGAATCCCGCAAGCGGTATTGTGAGAGTTATCCAAAAATCTCATAAAGGGTGAGGAGGCTCCTTGTGCGCGGTAGGCACGGGTTTACCGTTCTTGGCCGACTGAGTAACCATGATTTACATCATCCACCATTCCTGTCAGGCAAGGGGTGGAGGCGCCTAAGGTGGGAGACTAGAGATGGAAATAAGAGGTATATATAGGAGTAGACGGGGAATAACATGGAGGGGTATAATGTACGGAGTATATAGATGACAAAATTTTGTTTTGAACTCATTCCCAATCGTTTTATAATTGAACATATTTATTTTATCATTCCATCTCATTGTCCCGTATTAATATATACATGATATAGCACAAAAAAACAACACAAATTTTGTTTTGGATAACTTTGTGGATATACACTGAATATGACTAAAATATAAGTCATTTTCTAATATAGAACTTAAATTTTTTTATTCCTAAATAGGACTTAATAATATCTAGTGAGAAGAATAATGTCCAAGTGATATGATGTTGGATATTTAGTTGAATAATGACTAATAGATAATTATCCATGATCCACATTAAAAAATAAAAATATATGGTCCTATATTGAGAAAGTCATTATGTTTTAAACATATTTAGTTAAATTACTCTATGAGCAAATAACTATGAAAATATCAAAACATGACTCAAAAGTCTTTAATTTTAATATCAAAATAGGAGTTTAAACTTTCATTGAAACACTTAAAAATCTAGACCATTCTAATCCAACTCACCCAAATTTCTGGCTCATAATTTTTATGAAGCTTATATATATTCTTGACTTTTAACGTACGTTTTAACATTTTTTCATATATATTGTTTTGTTTTTTAATACTCCATTCATTTTCAAAAAGAGTTTCTACTTTGAAAAAGTGGAAAAATAAGGAAGTTGACTTTTAATTTTACCCTTGATGTGATGTGTAAAAATAAAATGTGATGGATGGATTTAGGGAAAAAGTATGATGTGATAGGTGTAGTATGAAAAAGTAAGGGTAAAAGTAAAATTTTAATACAAATTAAAATTGTTTTGGTAGAAGAAAAAAATGAAAGAGGAAGTGATTTGGTGAACCGAGGGAGTATATCATTTTTTTCAATAGTTTGCAAGTCAAAGTGGGTTGCCTCCCCTTATGCATTTTATATTTTTCGATCTAATTTTGGATAATGACAAAGTAGAACGCCTTGAACCTATTCCATTTTAATTTATCATGATCCTGAATATTAAGGGACAAAGAAGATAAGTTTGTGGTCTAAGCTATTTCGAACCGTTTGAAAAAAGGAGACACAATGCGGGATGGTATAAAACTCGAATCGTCCCAACCTGTGCCCACCCCTACTCCATGTCCACAACTACGTGATCCGGCGTGGCAATGCCACATATGTCATGATTAGCGGAATCAATTAATAATTTTCTCGTCTTTGTATTGTCAAAATGTGCAAAATCATATAACCGATCAAGAATAGCAAACACAACAACAAGCAATCAATCAAGTGGTAAATGAACACCAAGATTTAACGTGGAAACCCAATCGAGGAAAAAACCACGAAGCCTTCCACTAATCACAAAAAAAACCCAGTGGGTACAACCAAGAATCATCTCTAAATCAATTAGAGGTATACACAATCATCAAGCAACAACTTGGAACACCAAATAATAATAATTTTCACTCAAAAGTGAGAAAACTACACAAAAACGCAGCAGAGAAATAGTAGCGTTTTTACCGACTTCGAGAGGTCAAAACAACAATCCCACCGTTGGATATAAAGAAGAGGATCTCAGAAACAACATACTAAAATTTCATCCCGATCGGAGCCCCTTTGGTCATCGGAGCACAAACCCGAACTGCTGCACCACTCTTTTTTCTCTCTTTCTCTTTCTCTCGGCTCTCTCTTTTTTCTCTCTGTTTCTTTTGCTGCTGCTGGCCTGCTGCTGTGTTTCTGCCTGTGACCACCACAAAATTCAAGATAAGTGGCAGCCCCCACTTTGACATTTCCTTTCTTTTTTTCGGTCTTACAATAATACTAATAAATACTCCCTCCGTCCTAAAACTTTCTTCCCGGTTCGCAAAACGAAGAAAAATTCCAAGTTTTTTCAATCTATTTTATTTAAATATTGATATGGAAATAAAAAATAAAACATACATATTTAAAAACTAATCAAAAGTTCAACAAAACAAGTGGTGACAAGAATATTTTATTTTATCATATAGGCCATGAAAAAACACAACTAAGTATAAATTCCCGTGAAGTTTGAATAGTGCTATGGGAAGAAAGTTTTAGGACGGAGGGAGTAATAAATATTATTATTAGTATTAGGATTATGCTATGTGTACCCCAAGTTTTGTACTCCAATTTGTACCCCACAGTTTTGCACCAACACAAAGTGTTGGTGTAAAACTAATTTTTGTTAAACGCACCAACATTTGTGTCCGTGTGATTTTTTATAAACGCATCAACACTTGTGTCGGTGTAAACCATCGAAATGCTTGTGCAAACTTGTGGTGTACAAATGGGGTATATTTTTTTGTGTAAGTGTAGCATGGTCCTTATTATTGTTGTTATTGTTGTTGTTGTTGTTGTTGTTGTTATTATTATTATTATTATAGTAACACACGTCTAAACTAATCACATTTTTAACACCAAATGTATAGTTTAGAAACTCAATCCTCCATGTAGGAGGGATACCCCAACACCCTTCGTTGTGCAATGGCGTGGTCACATAGAGGTAAGACATTTTTTTTTGTTTTTCGTTTCTTTTACTGATGGGTATATCCTTATACCCGACCCGGACAACCAAAAGGGACAGGTCAAAATATAACCGGTTACTTTTATCAATCACCAAATGAGGTTAACTCTTCGATTGGGACGGGTCAAAAGTTGACCGGTCACTTCCACTAAAAAGTGACCGGTCACATTTTGGGCGATAGCCAAAATATCGCCTAATGTTACAAAGGACATTCTAGAAGACCAGAGACGGGCTGAGCACAAAGAATGACCGGGTAACTTTTGAGAGAAGGTGACCGGTCATATCACTTTACTTGGCTAACGTTGGTTCAGTCTCTTAAGCATGGTGAACCACGTCAAAGCGCAAGGGGATATCCCGCCACTCATCCATCACGAGGCATACAGTGAAAGGGATGTTTGTCATTTTGCAGGGTTGATTGGATTGAGAATATCCATTTTAGTCCTTGATTGAACAGTACATGTCTTGGCCTATAGTTGCTAAATTCTATGATTGTACAGTGTTCCCATTATCTACAGTGACCTTTCTACGAGCTTCCTATTTTGTCCATTGATGAACAGGGGAGGGTCACAAATCCTCTATAAATATGATGATATTGGATAGAGGAGGGGATCCAATTTTTCTCTCACTAAAGTTCACTCTTGAGATAGAGTAAGAAATATAATTCGGACTGAGGAGATTTACCCGGTCTAGGTCATATTTTGTGTTCTTGTTGTGTGTTTATATTACGGGTCGAGTGTCCAGGTCAAACCCGGTTAATCCGCCCAGCTATATTTACACTATCATTTACTTTAATTTGAACAGCATCAACTACGTACTTCCTCCGTCCCATAAAGTGTTACCCATTTTGACTAAATTAGAAATTAAGGGAGGGATAATTTTGTGTTGACTTTCCAAAAATACGCTTGATGTGATGGGTAAAAGTAGGATGTGATGTATAGATTATTAGGAAAAAGCTATGATGTGATAGGTAGGGTTTGAAAAAGTAAGGGGTAAAAGTAGTTTTTTAATAGAAATGTGTAGGAGATTGTGGGACATAATTTTTTGAAAGGTGTAAATCTTTTTGGGACGGAGGGAATAGTATTTTAATTGTTTGCAACTTTTTGTATGCAACTCATTACCTGATACTACTATGTACTCCCTCCGTCCCAAAAAGAATGGGACGGTTTGACTTTTTGGAAATTAAGGGAGATATTTTGGTATTGACTTTCAATAAATACCCTTGATGTGATGGGTAAAAGTAGGAAGTGATGAGTAGATTATTAAGAAAAAGGTATGATGCGATAGGTAGGGTATGAAAAAGTAAGGGGTAAAAGTGGTTTTTTAATAGAAATGTAACGGACTTTACGGAACGTAATTTTTTCTAAACGTAACAAACTTTTTGGGACGGAAGGAGTATGATTTAATTTAATAATCGATACCCTTTCAAAAATATTTTGAAATATCTTTTAAAAAATTAACTTAGTCAAACACTATCACTTTTAAATACTCCTATTTAACTCCAATGAATACCAACTACAAAATAGCAAACTTAAAAACAACAATGAGATTATAACAAGGTTAAAAATGGGTGTGATTTGATTTAAATAATTAAATGTATTCAAACTTGTATATTTATTTGACACCAAAAGGTAAGGTGTAGTGTTAGGTTACCCTCTTTGTTATTCTGTTAAAATGATAAATCAACTTATTTTGGTACCAAATTAGTTTTAATCTAGAGGATTTATCTAAATAAAAAAAATGTAATAAATTTTTACAATATATGATGATATGTTTTTATTTTTCAATATAGGACTATTAGTCATTATTCAATTAAATTCATCATCACTTGACATTA